ACATGTTGAACACAAATACCTGTACTAGTACCTGCTAGTTATGGGTACTTTTTACTGAAGTACACTTCAAAGCCCATACTTCTTTACTTCTACTTGAGTAAAGGGTGTGTCTCTCTCTCTGACTATGAGGGTCCTGGTGCTGATTGGTCTGTTTCCTGCAGGTACGCCATTCTCACCAAGGAGTCGTGGCCCCGCTGGAGCGGAGACCAGCGGCAGGGGGGCCTGCACCTCCTCAGCTCCGTCCACATGGACCAGGACCAGTTCCAGCTGGGCAAGAGCAAGGTGTTCATCAAGGCCCCGGAGTCGGTACGACACACACACACACACACACACACACACACACACACACACACACACACACACACACACACACACACACACACACACACACACACACACACACACACACACACTCTGTTAACCTTGACACATCTGTCGTTTTCCTGCCCAGTTTAGATTTAACAAAGCCCACTTCCCATGACGCAGCGTCACCTCAGTGTTTTAATGACTGAGGTGAATCTGAAGTCGCTTCATAGAGACTTTTCAAAGTCAATCTCAGATCTGTGGAGCTGAGTAAATGTTCATTAACCCGTTAATATGAACTCACCATGGATTTAAGAAGAGCACACTATAAACCAATCTGTAGCCTGACGGATCCTTCTTTGTTTGTCACGTTTTTAAGTAAATGTACTCTGTGACTCTCCAGCTGTGTCAGAGGAGATGTTCCTCTTGTTTCAGACTAACTCTAACATGGCTAACACCGACTGATAACCAGACCATACCGTTTTTGACCGAGGGACAGTAGATGTTGTTGTTGTTGTTACCATGGGGGTGTTCTCCTTAAACATCCATGAGTCAGCTGAGATGCGTTGATGCAGAAGTGGTTAGGGTGGTTAAATCTCATCTGGGTCGGAAAAACACCACTGGGACAGAACTGTAGAAGTCACCAGTAGTTCTGTTCATGGTACAGAGGCATTGTGGGTATTGTAGTTCCCAGAGGGTGTTTCTGATGTGTTCTTATGTGCAGCTCTTCCTGTTGGAGGAGATGAGGGAGAGGAAGTATAACGGTTACGCTCGGGTCATCCAGAAGGCCTGGCGTAAACACATCGCTGTCCGGAAGTACGTGAAGATGAGGGAGGAAGGTAAGAGGTCTTCTTTGGGGTTCAGGTTCAGGGTCTCTACGTTACGTCCTCCTCTCCACTAACAGACCTCTGTTCCCTCCAGCCTCCGACGTGCTGCTAAACAAGAAGGAGCGCCGCAGGAACAGCATCAACAGGAACTTTGTGGGCGACTACCTCGGCACCGACAACCACCCCGAGATCCGGCAGTTCGTCGGCCGCAGAGAGAGGATCGACTTCGCCGACGTGGTGGTGAAGTTCGACCGCAGATTCAGGGTCAGGACTCCGGCCAGAAAGAAAGGGTTTACGTTTCAGACTTCCTCTGTTTGCCTTTATAATACTCTGCTTCTGTTCAGACGGTGAAGCGGGACCTCATCCTGACCCCCAAGTTCCTGTACCTGATTGGTCGAGAGAAGGTGAAGCAGGGTCCGGATAAAGGCCAGATCCAGGAGGTTCTGAAGAGGAAGATCGAGATCAACAAGATCCAGTCCGTGTCCCTGAGGTACACCACTGTTCACAACCAGAACCGAGAACTGGAACTAGAACTATGACTAGAGCCAGAACTAGGAATAGGACCATGCCTACACTTAGAGCAAGAGCTGCACCGACCACCAGGGACAAACCTGCAACCGAAACTAGTCCAGGAAAAGACTTTCATCAGAACTAAAAACAAGAACTAGAACTAGGACTTCACTAGGAATAGAACCAGATTTGGAGGTGGGACTGGAACCAGGTCTAGGAATTGAAAATAAGGCAAAATCTACGATTTTAGACAAAGCTGAACTAGAACTAGAAGTACTAGAATGTTGAGTGAAGGTCTTGAATGAGAACTCAAATGGGGATTTGTGGGGCGACTGGCTGTGAGGGTGCACGGTCCTCTTTCACCCAGAAGGTTGTTGGTTCGATGCCAGCCCAGCTGTCCACATGTAGATGTTTCATTGGGCAATATTCTGTAACCTGAGGTGCTCCGGATGGCCAATGCTGTGTGACTGTTAGCTTGCCTTCAAAAAAGCATTACTCTGTATGGATTGGTGAATGATGACTTGTATCATTCTTGTTCTCTGTCTGTCTGTCTGTCTGTCTGTCTCTCTACCTCTCTCTCTACCTGTCTGTCTGTCTGTCTCTCTACCTCTCTCTCTACCTGTCTGTCTCTCTCTGTCTGTCTACCTGTCTGTCGTGTCTGTCTGTCTGTCTGTCTCTCTACCTATCATTCTACCTGTCTCTCTACCTGTCTGTCTACCTGTCTCTCTACCTCTCTCTCTACCTGTCTGTCTACCTGTCTGTCTACCTCTCTCTCTACCTGTCTCTCTACCTGTCTCTCTACCTCTCTCTCTACCTGTCTCTCTACCTCTCTCTCTACCTGTCTCTCTACCTGTCTGTCTGTCTCTCTGTATGACTGTCTGTCTCTCTACCTCTCTCTCTACCTGTCTCTCTACCTCTCTCTCTACCTGTCTCTCTACCTGTCTGTCTACCTGTCTGTCTACCTGTCTGTCAGTACGCTGCAGGACGACTTCTTCATCGTCCATGAGGAAGAGTACGACAGCGTCCTTCAGAGCGTCTTTAAGACGGAGTTCCTGAGTCTGCTGGTGAAACGCGTCCAGGAGAAAACGGAGAAGAAGCTGCCGCTGAAGTTCAACAACCTGTCAGTGACCGCTCTCCTGTGACATTAACAACCTGTGTGTCTCCACACTGAACTGATCCTCTGTCCTCTGTCCTCCCACAGTCTGGAGTTCAAGGTGAAGAAGGGGGGCTGGGGTCCGTTCAGCTCCTCGGGGTCCCGGCAGATCCAGTTCCAGGCGGGTCAGGGGGACGAGGTGGTCTTTAAGCCCAGCGGGAAGGTCCTGCAGGTCTCCGTCGGACCGGGTCTGCCCAAAAACTCCAGTAAGTTCTGACTGGACTTGCCACCAGTTCTACACCTTCGGGCCGTTTCTCAATGTTGAGTAAAGCTGCTGCAGAGCAACTATTTCAAGTATACTGCATCATCGAGTGGCGCCGAAGGACTGTTTGAATGGAGTCCTTCTGCGCCACTCGATGACGCAGTATACTTGAAATAGTTGCTCTGCAGCAGCTTTACTCAACATTGAGAAACGGCCCCTGTGTGCTCCCCCTCAGCTTCTGTGTGATCCCATCCATTCCTGTGTGCTGCGCCCTCACTTCCTGTTGCTCCCCTTACCTCTCCTGTGTGCTGCCCTCCTTTCCTGTGTGCTTGCCATCACTTCCCTGGTGCTGCCCTCATTGCTGTGTGCGTCCCTTACTTCTGTGTGCTGCCCCTCACTTCTGTGTGCTCCCCTTTCCTGTGTGCTGCCCCTCACTCTCCTGGTTGCTCCCATACTTCTGTGTCGCTTGCCCTCCTTCTGCGTTGCGCGCCCCTTCTTCCTGTGTGCTGCCCATCAACTTCCTGCGTGCTGCCCATCACTTCCTGCGTGGTGCCCTCAACTTTCTGCGTGCTGCCCTCCACTTCCTGGCGTGGCTGCCCTCGATTCTGCGTGCTTGCCCTCAACCTTCCTGCCGTGCTGCCTACTTCGGTGTTGCTGCCCTCACTTCCCTGCGTGCTGCCCTCACTTCCTGCGTGCTGCCCCCACCTTCCTGCTGTGCTGCCCTCACCTTCCTGCGTGCTGCCCCTCACTTCCTGCGTGCTGCCCCTCACTTCCTGTGTGCTGCGCCTTGTGGAGGAAATTCTTAAGAGAAACTGATAAATGATTTGTGGACAAAGTCTGTCTTTTGTTATGTAATAAAGAAAATAAAGAAAGTCAATATAAAGTGAGATGGATCTGAAATGCAGGAGCAGAGCAGCTTCCTCCTCCTCCTCCTCCTCCTCCTTCTCCTCCTCCTCAGAGGAGAGAGAGAGGAGCAGGAGCAGAATGTCTCCCTCCTCTTCCTCTTCCTCTTCCTCCTCCTCCTCCTCCTCCTCTGGTTCTGCTTTCAGTCTCTCTGTGTATGCATGAGGAACCAGCTGCTCCTCCATCCCATCATCAAACCATTAACCCCCCAGTCCTTAACCCTTTAATCCCCCTTTGCTCTTCCTTTGCCTCCTGATGTGTAAACCCTAACATCTGTCTCTGTTAAACACACAAGACTACAAATAAACTTTAACAGAGTGAAAGGAAATCAGAGTATAAGACTATATGTTATAAAAGATGATATGATCATTTGACACGACACCCCTCACTTCCTGACTTGCTATCTTATTGCAGGACCGACGAGGAAGGACAACCGCAAGAGTCGCTACATGGGGAAACAGACCCCGTCCAGCCAGCACAGCTCAGGTACCAGAAACCACCAAAACGGACTGAAAATGGGACCTGACTGGTTTTCCTACAGAACCGCAGGAACCAAAGGGTCCGGCAGCACCGTCAGATGTAACGCTGTTAGCAGCCGGTAGAGTTGCATTATGATGCATTCAAGAGCCTTTCAGTAAAAATGCTTGTCTGGTAAAGTTATATCATCACGTGTTCATGATGTGTTCGCATGTAGTCTTGATTGTAAGATGTATCCTGCTGTCTGAAGGAGGCTCTGAGAGTAAAAGCCATATCAGTTCTGCACCAGCCGGTAAAGGTCCGGATCACTGCAGGTTATAGCTGATAGATGCATGGTCATCTTTTTGGTCTAAGCTTTACTCTTCTGTCGCTCTCTCACTGTTTACATATTGTACCTTGGTTCATGTTTCCCCGTTAACCGTTACCTTGGGGGTTCCTTTAGGACCTATCACTTGTCCGATGTGAGGGTGTAAGGACAGAGGCTGGTGTATTCTGTATCAACTGTAAAACCCCCTTGGACAAATGTTGGATATTGGGCTATATAAATTAACGTTGACTTTTATTGAAACAAAACCCGCTCAAACCTGATTGGTCTATTCTTCTGGGACTACAATCAGAAACCAGAACTTGTTAATACCAAAAGCTCCTTGTTGCCACAGATTGTGTTCACAGAGATTACGGCCTGACCCATGGTGTTTTTTTCTCCAAAGATTCAAAGGTGTTATTTTCATGCTCAGCAGCTTCAGTGGAGAAATGCAATTCTTCTGACCTGAGCTCCTCCAGCGATGCAACATATATAATAACATACTAACATACGAATAAAAGGAAATCAATAAATAGTCAGAATGGACCTATACTCCCAACGGCTCAGGAAGAAAGCCCTCAGGATTATCAAAGACCCCCATCACCCCAGCCACAAACTGTTCAGTCTGCTGCCGTCTGGCAGGCGGCACCGCAGCATAAGGACTAAAACCACCAGGCTCAGAGACAGTTTCAGGTCTAAAACCACCAGACTCAGAGACAGTTTCAGGTCTAAAACCACCAGACTGAGGGACAGTTTCATGTCTAAAACCACCAGACTCAGGGACAGTTTCAGGTCTAAAACCACCAGACTGAGGGACAGTTTCAGGACTAAA